CCTGCTGAGCTTCCTCCCCACCCCTAATGTAGGGTGGGTGGTGTGTGGGAAGGAGAGAAGGAAGCTGGAAAGGAGGAGGAACTACAGAGATTTTCAGGGAAGGGAAAGACGAAATAGTGGGGGAAGGGGAAATGTAATGCCCCTTGTAAGTCCATGTGGGTCCCCTGCTTTTCAATATAGCTAATTCCCAACATGGCCCAATCTGTTAAATCCATATATTGGAGCTATGAACAGAAAAGCCCCAGTTTGCAGAAGAATCTGAAATCTAAAAAACAAATACACTGGGAGTTTATAGGCCTCCAAAACAATAGCAGCAGCTCCTGTAGCTTTAACAAATCCCTTCAGTGGCTGTTGCTAGGTAAGCACAACAATATGGCCAGTCATCAAACCTTGGGTCTGTCAGTAAAAAGTATGGGGGAGAGGGAAGGGCCCTTTCCAGGTTTGTTTTGGCCTTTGAGGGAGGCCTCCTCAGGACCACCAACCACTAGGCACGTTGCTACCACAGAACCTGCATGAATCATTCAGGTACAGCTGATTGCTACTTTTTAACAGCAGCCACCTACCCCACAACCCCTGAGGTGTAGTGAGGTATAGTGGTTAGAGTTTCAGATTGGTAGGTTTGAATTCCTACTATGCCATGGAAATCCACTGGATGACTTTTGGATAGTCACACACTCTTAGACTTACTTACTTCATAGGGTTGTTTTGAGGCTAAAACAGAGAAGAGAATGATGTGAGCTGCTTTGGATCCCCATTGGGGAGAAAGACAGGATAGAAATGCAATAAATAAATAATAAATACAGCTGAAGATGGGAGGCAGATAATAGGTAGGTTGGTGAGTGAGGAGGAGAGAAGGAAGCAGGAAAAGATGGGTATATTGGAGCTGCCTGGAAGAAACAGTGTGGGAAGTGATACAGGGAAAAATAAGGTGCCCCTGAGAGCCTTTGCAGATTTCTTGACCAGCCTGGCGACTACCCTGCACAGCTTGGCTCAAGTTTTTCCAAAGAGAGATTGCCATGGGGAGGGGAGGAAAGAAACTGAAGAAGGGGGGCAGATACAGTTAAGTTTGCTGGTGAGTCAGAAGGAAGCAGGAGTAGGGGAAGCTCTATGGGGGCATTCAGGGTAAGGAAAGAAGAAATAATGAGGGAGGGGAAAATGAGATGCCCCTTGCAAGTCCTTGCAGGTCCCCTGCTTTTCAATATATCTAATTCGAACATGGCCAAATTTGTGGATACCTAAACCCAGAGAGTAGATCTATAAACAGACAAGACAGATTTTTCTTCAAACCAGAAAAATGCCCCAGATTTGTGTACAAATCTGAAACCTACAAATTTTTACACAGGAGAGGTAAATCCTGGCAACCTTAGCTGTGACACACAGAAATAAACTGCTTCTTGCTTCAAGATTTGTTGGGGGAGGGGGTTGAAAAGAAAAACAGATTAAAATAGAGGTTCTCTTGTAACAAATGAGCTATTGTCAAGGTCCCAGTGATTCTAGCTCTGTCCATCAACTGCCGATACAGGATTGTTTCAGAGCCATTTTAAATGCTGTTGTCTTTATATAATTGCTGTGTCAATTTGTATGCTTTCAAAATGTAAAATGGCAATATTTAAAGGTCATAAATAAACTTTGAAAATGGCCTTTCTAATCTTAGAAAATGATAACTGTCTTGGGAAAAAATATGACTGCCCCTAGACTCGCTTTGGGAGTATGAATTTATCTAATGAAATACCTACAGCCCTCTTTTCTCCAGGGATTCAAGGCAACTAACAGGAAGATAGTACACAAACAGAATCGTAAAACTGCAAAGAACAGGATTGCCTGAAAATAACTACAATCAAATACCCCATTCAGCCTTTATTTGTTTTTTAAACATGTATATGCCATCTCATCAGAGTTCAAAGTAGCATACAACTATAGTGTGTTAAAATAACCTATCAATTATACAAACTAAAGTAATTATGAATATATATATATATATATATATACACACACACACACACACATATATAATCACACAGCATTTAACTATGACTCTAGCCATTGGTCCTAAAATGACCTCTGCAACTGTGGCCCTTTCTGCACTCTCCTCCAAGCAATTTTGCTCTAAAATTGAATTCAACCTTTTAAATCCATTTCCCCCCCCAATTCTGCACCAAAATTGAGTTAAACCTTCTTTTTATTCTGTCTCTCCCCCCACCCCCTCTTAATATTACATTGACTCCCTTCAGTGGTCAGCCTGGTTTCAGCCCTGGGTTATTTGGATGCTTTTTTGTCGTGGACTTAAATTGCCTCAACTTGAATACTGAGAAAATCTGGAATGGCAGGCAAATGCGGAAAGGACCTGTGTGGGTTTTTATAGACTCTGGAAAATGCCAAGAGGAATGAATTAATTAAGTAGAGAACATACCACAAAGTAAGGGCCATAACAGAAAAGGAACATGATCTTCCTGATGAACAGATGTTATTAACACCAGAAACATTTTGGGGCAAGAACAAGCACCTTAGGCTTAAATAGAGACTAGGATCATAGCAACCGCCAGTCCAGTTGTTTCAACATAAGCCGATTATATACTCATGGTAACTTACTGTCATGGATATGGCCAGAAATATAGGGGAACAGTTGCTGGTTTTGACCAAAAAGATCATGGAGGATGTTTCTGCAGACCAAAAACAGAGCCCGTCTAGTCTCTTGACTAAGCATGCCAAATAAGGAGTCTAGAGACCCAGAACAGAATATCCTTTGAGAGGGGTAAGAAAGAAAAAAAGTACCACAATTATATGGTCTTGTGTAGACCATATAAACTGTCTAATCTATATCAATAGTTATTACTTGTTGAGGGCCAGGTGCAGAAGTATCTGAGAATGGCGAGAATGTCCAGCTTCATAGAAGTGAAGACACAGTTCAAAGGTGGGGTATATTGGTTGAGGTCCAACAGATACTCATATGTACAAGAAATTTGTAATTACTGTTTGTTGGGTATTACAAGTTGAAAACACTCAGTATATCTGGGGTTAAATGTTTGTTTATGTTACTCACAGGAAGTCACATGTTTTTCATGTAACCAATGTTCTTTAGCTATAGAATACCCGGGAATTTTCTCCCTGATCTAGGAATTTGATTGGGACTAAAGTGTCAAGGTGTATTAGCATTTTATAGCTCTCTTCCCGTCTTTGTTTGGTGTTCTGAAGAAGAAGAGTAGCCATCATGTCACTCTTCTAGTTTTGTCTTTGTAGAGTAAGGATGTAGCCGATTATGCTCTGTTGTTATTTTCATCCCAGTTACCCTTCCCATGCTAGAATTTAGTAAAAACTTTATATTTTAATCACGCATGAATTATTTTACTCTGGCACTGCTGGACTATCTTATCTCTGCTAAATACAATTTTTTTCAATATCTCACTATCACCCAACACTGTTTTTAAATATACTTTGTTATAATAAAAGGAAAGCTAAGCAGGGTTGGCCCTGGCTAGTATTTGGATGGGAGACATGCTGATCTTTGGGTAAGATATTTTAATGGACTCATGTAATTGCCCTCACTGCATTGTATATCTGCTTATGGAATAACATTTTCTGCTTTTTCATGTAGCATGTTTAATACCTATGCTTTATTTCAGATTTTTGCAATCCTAGTCCTATTACATTACAAATAATTTGTAGGCCATGGTTCTAAGGTTCAAAATGCTGTCAAATGATCTTATTGAAACACATAATTTCACATTCTCTATTAGGTCTCCTTTCCAGATCATGATTACTTCTTCTCCTGCTTCAGGATCATATCATTTTCTTCAAGGTAAGGTGTATCCCATTGTGGGCACGGAGGATAATCTGAGGTATGGGAACGGGAGGAGGTTTAGCAGGATCAGGTATGAGTTCAAATCTAAGCAAAGTCAAGGCAAGGACCACTTTCATCTCATTCATGGCAAACTGCTGACCAATACAGTTTCTGAAATGACAAGCAGACATGTTTACAAATGGGAATATTTGTTAGAAGACTCCTTTCCAGCCTTTAGCCTTCTTTAAGATCTCCTTAGTTCTACACGAAGTACAATTTGGGATTACCCTTGTAGCTGTAATATTTGGTTTAGGAATGGTTTTGCCAGACCCAACAGGAAAGTCTGCTGCCTCTGTGTCAGCCTTAGGCGTGTAAGAGAGTTCCAGAGCTCTCACCACCTTAGGGAGCATTTTGTTATACAGTTCCGGAGGAAAATGTCTGGACTGAATAAGAGGGACTGCCTCTTTTTCTTTTTCAGACAGTTCTCCCTCCTCTTTGGAAGATGCAGAAGTATCAGCACTAGAGTCATCCTCCTTAAGCACTCTAAAGTATATGTTTGTGACCCTCCAATGCTTTAACAAAAAATTAATTGTGATGAGCTAGGAATATATTTCTGACAGGATTAGCAGAAGTTTGAGTTTTGCCTTCATGGATTGCGCTGGCAAAAAAGCTGTGCCACCCGTGTTCTATCTGCCCCCGCCTATCTCCCTCTTCTCTCTTCGGACCGGAACAGAGAGGAACTGCTACCCACTAGCTGCCGCAACCGATCGGGGGCCTCCTGATGCTGCCGGCAGCGTTCTCTGCTCCTTGTAAGCGGTACCGGGAGGGGTGAGGAGGCAAACAGATCCTTCCCTGCCTCCCCAAACAACTCACGTTGTCCGTCTTTCTTCAATCTTTGACCAGGATCTTCATACTTCCTAGAGCACAGCCAAGACATCCTGCTCTGAAGGCAGGGCCAGAAAAACTGGGAAAGCAGAGGACAAGCCCCTCCCCTCCAGGATCAAGTTTTTGCCGGCCCTGCAAGTGGAAAGGAGGAGCTAAGTCCCAGGAGATATGGAATTAAAGGACCACCGGAGAATCTAACTTTTCCAACTCTACTTTTCCATGTAAGTGTAAAGTCATGTATATCAGGGCAAAATAAATCCCAACTTCACACGTACACTGATGGTATCTAAACTTGCAGTAACAAACCAAGAAAGGGATTTTGGGTGATAGCTCACTGAAAATGTTGACTCGGTGTGTGGCTGCTTTGAAAAAGGCAAATTCTAAGATGTCTGCTGAGCAAACAGATAATACATTAGCTCTCCTTATCACTACCTGTCCAGTCTGCTTTGTGGATTACCATCTGTTAGATCTCCTATGTTATTGAGAATAAACTGAAACTTTGAGGGGTCTCTGGCATGGGTCTTGCTAACTGGTGATGGGGAGTTTATCTTTATCAAATATGCTATTATAAATTTTAGGAGTAAATCTTTGTTTTTATTTATTTATTCAAATTATTTATATATCCTCCTTTCTTCTGAGCATCTCAGGACCTATGGCAGTTAACATTAATGGAAAATCAGTTTTATAAGAGAAACATTTAAAAAGATATAAAAACATTAAAACCTGTCTAAAAACACCTTATTCCTCCCAGTAGCAGATATCCCCCCTCTGCTAGGCTCAGACTGCCCCATTTATTTACTTATTTACTTCAGTGGATTTATAGGTAGCCACCATGCCAAAATAGTCACTAAACTCTCTAAACTAATCTAAACTCATAGTCACTATACTGATGTTTCAAAATCCCCTATGCTAAATCAGTGCTTCTAGATAAACTGGCATTAATTTTGACCATGAGATTTAATATCTCAAAGCGTATGTCTATAATATATAAACTTCACCTTGGTCCAGCAGAGAAAGGCAGGAAGGCATGAGTATCTCTGCTTGATATGTTCTCAGGAGTAAACCTCAAAGGATCAAACACCTAAAACAAAGAGTTCCGTTATTTCTTTAGCAAACTAGTTTGGCTACTGTTTTCAAAGGCATGCTGCTACTGCTAGAGATAATAAAGAGTGCTTTTGTATTCTTTCCTGGATCCCATAAAAACAGCTTATCCTGACATTGAGCAAAGGCTGATAATGTTGCTAAAATCTGAACAAGCTTTTGTCAAAATGTTAGTCACGGATTAATTTAATTTGGTGTGGTCTGATGATACGAGTTTCTTGGAAGTGTGCAACCAGCTTGACCCTTAACCATCCTAGCTTGTCACATTTTGCCACTGGAGATTGTAGGGCTGGGGCTGGGGGATAGCAAATGCTTCCTTAAGGAAGAGGGTAGTGCTAACTCTTGAAGGATACAGTCAGGGGTCATTTCGTAGAAAAAGAGCTGCAGGAGCTCATTAGCACATGGTATGCTAATGAGCTACTAGGCTATTAGCATAATAGCTCATTAGCATATGCAACTCCCCCTGACATCACCGGAAGTGATGTCAGAAGGGGAAGCAAAAGGGGGGGGGAAGGCATCTTCAAAAGCCTCCCCTTCCCTTTCCCAGCCAGCCGGGGGGGGGGGGAACAAAGAGAGAAGGG